CGCTCTCACCCACAGCGGGGACACAGGAGACACAAGGGCATGGGGGGAAGACGACCAGCCCCAAGGGAGCCATGCAGCGCTGCCATTACCCCCAGTGCCGCAGTTCTCCTCATCGGTGCCGTCCATGCAGTCCGCATCGGCATCACAGCGCCAGCGCATGGGGATGCAGTGCCCGTTCTTGCACTGGAACTGGTCGAACTCGCAGCGCGGCGTGCAGTCTTTCTGCAGGGGAAGGGCGAGGAACAGCAGTCAGCAGGGACAGCCCCAGCCATGGCAGCCTCCCATCTCATGAGTCACCCAGCACCAGGCTCTCAGCCCCTCCTTGGTGGTGGGCGACCACCGGCAGAGGCAGACTGGGTGGGACGTGTCCCCACTCCCACACATGGGCAGGGTGAAGGTGCTGGCAGAGAGCCCCTGCCCTCAGGACTATACCTCGTCAGAGCCATCCGCACAGTCATGGTCCCCATCGCACTTCCACCTGCCGGCGATGCAGCGGCCGTTGGCACACGAGAACTCGCTCTCCGAGCAGGGTCGGGGCGCTAGGGACAGAGAACACAGGGGGTCCCCCTGAGTGCGGGCTGCGAGGCCAGAAGGTCTCTCTGGCCAACAGCTTGGGGGGCACAGGCTGACACAGACAGACATCCAGTGGTACTGGGGACAGGATGGGGTGCAAGCAGAGCCCAGGGAGCTGCCAGAGAAGGGTATGGCTGATACCACCTCCCAGTCCCCTTCCCATCCCACTCCAGGGCTTCCAGCTCCCTGCGGGGAAATGGGGGTACTACGGCCATACAGACTTGCTTCTGGCAGCTTCCCGGATGCACATCCCCCACGTTGCTCTCCACCGAAGGCAGCACTAGCCCCACAGCTCCCCGCTGCCCATGTCTGCTGCCCCACCAGCAGCTGCGGGCAGGAGGAAAGGCAGCGGCGCCCTGGCCAGGTCTGGCAGAGCCGGCACACCGTGCCCCCCTCGCAGGGCATGGGGACAGACTCCCCCTCGCAGCTCAACGCACCCGCTGAGCCGGCACCGGCACAGTCGGTGCCAAATCTGTCTGCAGGAGGACGGCTCTCGGGACCCTTCCCCTCCCCATCGCCCCGGGGAGGCCCCAGGTGCAGGATGGGTCGGGGCAGGCGGCCCCTCCAGCCGCAGTGCAGAAGCCCACGGGACTGTAGGGGAAGAGGGGGGCAGGGGGTGTACCGCAGGGGCGGAGGTAGGGGAAGGCG